TCCTTTCCTTTCCTTTCCTTTCCTTTCCTTTCCTTTCCTTTCCTTTCCTTTCCTTTCCTTTCCTTTCCTTTCCTTTCCTTTCCTTTCCTTTCCTTTCCTTTCCTTTCCAGGGAACTAGGGCAGATTCCTTCTGAGACCCTTTCCATGCCCCCATTCCTCCTCTGGCCTGAGACGTCTCTTATCTGACCATTGCCCCGGCAGTTGTTCTTCCTCCTCCTGTCTCTCAAGGATGTTCCTGCAGACCATTACAACAGGATAGCCTCTGTAGGTGATTTTAGTGGTGATTTATCAAATCAGGGTTAAGATTTCTTGACCATGAGTAGATGTAATATTCTAATGTATAGCACTATTTTTCAGCTGAATGTATACATTCAACTTCAAATTGAAAGAAAGAAATTAGAAATGTACGTGTAGGAGTGAGAGAGTTTACAATAAAGCCATTAGAGGAAATCATGTAGCAAAATTCTTCCAAAGAAAGAAAGTTCTACCACAGTAGTGAATCTCTAAGAGTCCAGTGACAGGAAGATCTGCTTACAGCAATATTTGAATAGTTCCGTTCCTCCAAATCAATAATCCGAAAAACAGTGAAGAAATGATGGCAAATATTTCCTTCCATCTGAACTGTTTTCTTCAAAAGTGTCCCCCACTTTTCTTTTTGATCCCATCCTGTGGAAATTTCTACATGTAGTGATCTTAGAACCAAATTTCTACAAGACTTACTTATATACTTCTATTTTCAGTTAATCCTTACAGGTCTTCATAATTTTTATTACTGTTTTATAATAAGTCTGTCATTTAAAAAAGAGCAGTAAATAGCTTTCTGCTGTGATTTAGTATTTTCTTTTCCTACTAAATTAACATTTTCAGCAAGGACAAATATGATGAAAAAAGATCCACTGCATCAGAAACTTTTTGAGTTTCTATAGCAAAATAGCAGATGTGTGTATATAGGGAAATGTATTGGAAATGTGTTTTATTGGAAAACATTGCATAATTATTACTTTATAAATTAACTTTCAAATATAGTGGTTTATATGAGACATTCTAAGTCTAGTAATAAATGCTGGTGGTTTTGATAAAATACTGTCTGACTCAGAACTGTAGCTTAAATGTACAAAATATTGAATTCAGGGGCATCCACAGGGGTGGGGGCCTAAAAGGTCAAGATGGTAATAACCCTAATTAATAAACTACATTCTCTGATGGTGTAACTGTATATATTAGTTAGTATCTCAGGTGAAGAAAGACCATGGTCAGATTTATTGGGGGCATTTTATGTAGAATAGTTGTGTAAAGTTTCTGAAATGGAAGTTCCTAGCATGAACAACAAAATCCTCAGCTTTGTATGTGCAAGACGCTGGTATTAATGTCAGGTTAAAATGCAGTGAAGCCCATCTACCTTTTTTCTTTCCTCAAATATGAGGTCTTTATGAGGTCCTCAGAGGCAACTGTATTTCAGAAGAATAAAAAAGAATGAAATTCAAAAAATGAAATTAGGTGAAACCCTTTGGCTTGTTTTAGAAGGATGGGTGAACACCATTACTGTCAGTATGAGCTCCAAGCAGAATCCACAAAGCCTTCAACTCTTTGTGAATTCTGGCATCCTGATGATGTGTATAAAATAACTGGTTTTGTTTGATTTTATAAAATAGATTTTATTATCAGATCATAATTACTTATTTATTCCACCCACTACAGGAAAAAAAAAAAGAAATATGCTGTATTGGGTATCTTGAAATCTGAGGTTGGTAATGTGAAGTTTTACAAAGATTTTCTTTTTGTGACTGACTTTACGACTTCACAACATTTTCTTGTCTTTTTGCATTTAAATATCCCAATAGAATAAACCTTCTTTATTCATTGATTGGAGTTTACATATGTCCTTCTGAGGACACTGATTTTTTTTTTCAAATAACTTTATTAGATTTTTAAGATAAAGATACAAAAATTAACAAGAACTTATAATTAAGATAGAAAGTAGAAAAGAGAGAAAAATAAAGAATGAAAGAGAAAACAAAGTCAAAAGTGCAGAAAGAAAAAGAAATACAAAAGAAAAATGACTTCCAACTGTCTTTTATAACAGATATAAGTATAAATTTTCTTTAAGCTCCTATTCTATTTACAACATAACTTTCATTTTTTCTATTGTCTACTTTTATTTCTAATCATTAAATCCATATATCATGATTTCATTTTTTCCTGTTTCACGCAAAAAGTCCAAAAGGGGCTTCCAATTAGCATTGAAATTAATCAATGTCTTTTATCTAATTAAAGCTGTCAGTTTTGCCATCTCAGCCAACAACATCAACTTTACCATCCATTCTTCCACTGTAGGTAATGTCAAATCTTTCCACCGTTGTGCATATAAAAGTCTTGCTGCTGTTATCATATATAAAAACAAAGTTCCATGAATTTTTTCCAACTGTTTATCCATCAGTCCAAAAAAAAAAAAAGTCTCTGGTTTCAGTTGTATATTAGTCTTTAAGATCTTCTGAATTAATGTAAGTATTTGAGTCCAATTTTTTTTTAGCTTTTTTACATGTCCACCAAACATGATAAAAAGTCCCCTCTTGTTGTTCACATTTCCATCATACAGTTGAAGTCCCTTTATATAATTTAGACAATTTTTCTGGTCACAAATACCAATAGAACATCATTTTATAAAAATTCTCTTTAAGATTATAACACAGTGTAAATTTTAATCCTTTCATCCAGATATTCTCCCATTGTTCCATTTTTAGCCCATTTTATCATACATTCTTTCCCTTGTTCATCTTCTGTTTCAAGTTTCAATAAAAGTTTATACATTTTAGCAATAACATGTTCATCACTTGTACATAATTCTATTTCAAATTCAGTCTTACCATGTTCAAAACCAAAAGTTCCTTTATCTACTATCTTTCTAGTAACTGTACATAGGAAAACCATTAACATATATAGTATATCTTTCTGATATCAAATCCTCTCTTGATTTTATTTTGAAATCTCCCTGGAGG